GTAACCAAAAAAAGAGTGCAATGGCTTTGCTAACATTGCTTCATGTAGATTTGGTGAATCTCTTCTAAATTCTGAATTTCTTCTGACTTTGATAAGCAGTATTTTCTCAGCTTTACAACCTATAATCTATATTCCCTGCCATTACAAGAGAATGAAAGGAGTACAGGTGAGATAGTTTGGCCACATAGGAAAGATAACGATATTTGCCTTAAATACGTGTGATAGATGCAAGACAAGCCTTTCTGCTGCCTCTTGCAAATTGTTTACTCTCCTCTCTGCTTGCTAAGACCCAGCTGTGAGATGCTTTGTGACAAAGACCCCAAATCAGAGATACAAAAAGCACTTATTCCAGAACCTCAAAATACTGCCCTGATTCATCTTTTCAGTACACAAACATTATTTATATCTCCAGTTTCTTCATTTTTTTGAAGCTTGTATTTACAGCATGGGAACTGAAAAGCACCAGACCTGTAGGTAGTAATAGCTAGCTTTGGAACTGAAAAATACCACCTTGAGAAGCCTATTTATTGATCAATCCCATTATCAGTGCCATAGTGCAAAGGTGAGGCACACATTTGGGGTAGCAGCATCACTTAATCTAAAGATGACATGAATGCCCTCATTTCAACACTCAGTGACATTTAGTGCAGGTCACTGGTGGGCAGTCTGGTTTTGCAATAAACCAGGAACCTCCTTTGATTCTAATGGACAGAGCAGATAGATTGCTTGTAGCTGGAAAATTTCCTTTCAAAAGAGAAAATTAGCATGACAGGAAAAAACCTGAACTGATTGCAAACCTCCTAAATATTATTAATAAGTTTCACAAAACCTCACATACCCTAAGGTTAGCCCTGCCCTTTTCTAAACATACAGTTTGTACAGATTTCCCCAAAATAACTTTGGTATTGGGATGTCAGCCATAATCCTGCCTCATACCTGGTTGGACTGCAATCAAATCCTTAAGAAAGACTGCAAGACTTTTCAAGGCCAAAGAAACCAAGCATACAGTAATTTTCCACGCACGACATCATCTGTGACTAGCAGAACTTGCAAAATTTGTTACATTTACTTGAAACAAATGAAAATCAACCAGTGGATCCCATTTACCAATTGAGACAGTCATAAAGACTGATGCATCCTTTGTGTTATCTACTTTTGTTGGCTATACTGGCTCTTCAGATTGCCCCACTTGAAATTCCTTAGCCTGGCAACAGCTCTGATCAGTTTTCATTTTCCCTTTATACTCTAGTAGAAGGGGCAAATAATTACCCACATACAAGCTTTTTTTTTTTTTTTTCCAAATCTTATGCTGAACTGAATTTTCCACAACTGAAATGCTGGGGGAAAAAGAAAAAAAAACCTTTTCTGTGATTTCAGTAGGAAATACAGCCCATCAGTTTCCCATTTGGACAAAGATGCCACAACACAATTAGCTCTGAAGCATGGAGGGCACTGTAGGTCTCAGCAAAACATAGCCAGTCTACTAGGAACATGTGAGCCGTTTGCTTTTCAACAGACTGAAGCACTAATTTTCTTTAAAGATGTTTTCTTACAAATAGTGTTTTTAGCTCTACTACCTCAGGGGGTAAATAAAGGACATGATCCCCCTTATGTAGGATCTTAACCCTATGTAACCCTTCTGCAGCCAGACCTACTTCAGGATCACAGCCCAGCATCCAGTCCTCATCTCACACCAACTTCTCATAGTCTGTGCCCAATTGCATGTTCTTTCCACAAACCCAGTGATGGCTGAGAATGGAGAGGAAAAATCAGCTGTATGAAGAGTTTTTCTGAGCTAGTTTACAGGAGCATATAAAGGTAGGACTGTCTCTGAGGGGAATAGACTTTTTACCTTGAAGAGCCTCTGTGGAGAAGCTGAAATAAACCTTTTGCCAAAGGATGCTTATGCTCTGAATGCTTCAGTTGTCTGAAAGCAAACGGAATGAGGTGGAGAGACAGGAGCCAAAAACCCAGGTGCCTGCACATAACAGCAGCTATGGCTTTTGCAAGATGTTTCTTATCAAACAAAGCACTTCAAGAGTGCTTTGAAGTGAACTAAGCACTTCAAGAGAAACCACGATTTTGTCTGTACACAGAAGTTCTACTACTCTGGTGTAAATAAAAAAAGCACAATCCCATCCTAGTCTGGGTGCAGCTATAAATGTATTTGTATAATACATTCTGATATGGAAAGAGGAATAATTTACCCCAGGAAAAATTACTTCTATACATATATAACTGTGTTCACTCTCTGGGCTGTATTACGTTACTATAACTATGCTAGTAAAAGAAAATTTACAACTCTAAATGACGTTGTAATGCTGGTTTCAAGACGATACACAGACCAGGTACTCACTTCAGTGGGACTCTAGGCCTCCTCTGTGGTTCCATTTCCTGCTTCCTTACAGTAGCACTGGGAGTTTACGTCTTCTCAGCAGTATTTTGACTCTTCTCTGACTCTCCTGCCCACACACTGTATACAAGAAGTTAAACTTGCTTCCTCAGTTGCTATAGACTAGTCATAAGTGTGAAACCTATTTCTCAGGTACTCTAGACAAACAAGCCCCTATACCCTTTTGGTCAGCTGTAAGGACAGCTTTGTGATTCAGGTTTTAGGAGTGAAGTCCAGCTGAGCTACTCACAGACTGGTAAAATGGTCAGAGAGACTACTGAATGAGGTGGATGAAGCTTTCAAAATAGAGTTTCAGTCTGTTCTTAAAAGGACATAACATGGCATACTCCAAAAAGCACAAGTTTTTACTCAGGCTCTTGGCCAAGAACTCGCAGAATACCAAATCTGTGTTTTCTTTATACCTCCATTTCTAGTGATTTGTGTGCTTGCCTCAGTAGAGTACAAATCTTTTTCTGTCAGACTCATTTCACAGGAAGAAAAGAAAGCCTGTGTTAGAAAACTCAAGTTCCTAGGAGCAGGAACAAATACATTCTGGTACCGAGCCCTTAAACACACAAAAATTCTTTCTGACCCCAGCTACTGGTCCTGCTTCTCTCAAAGCCTGTGGGACAGCTAAGCTCCACATGAAAAAGCTCCAGGGGTTTACAGCTCCCTTACCAAGGTAGCCCAAAATTAGCACTAGTTTAATATGTCAGGCTACAAGCTGCAGTGGTTCAGGATCAGCTCCATGTGCAATTCCACAACCTCTGAGAAGGCACCAAGTGAAAAACTAACTGGAGGCAGTTATTGATTCAGCTGTCTGCCCTTAATTAACTTATATTGATGCCCCAATATCACTAGGATAAAATATGGATCAACCCTGAACTTAGGGTTAGTTCTAAATGACAGATTAAATTTTGAACTAGACCCTTGCAAAGCTCCTTGTTTTCCTCTCTGACAGCTCACATTTCAGTTTCTGGTGTGCCAGTTGGAATGACAGTCCTTTCCACATTTAACTGTGTACTGAAATGTGCAGCTGTGCGAGTGATTTGTTAGACAGTTCTGGGTGGGTGGGACCCTGTAATAACCATCTCTGGTGTGCTATGCTCTGTAGTAGCATTGAGGACTTAACATTGTTGATCCAGAGGTTTCCCTACACAACGTAACATACTCCAATATTTTGAAGCAGGACCACTGAAACTAAGTTTTATTATATCAGGATGCATTTATGAAAAATTTATTAAGTAATGATTAATAGATGCTTACCAGTTATAGATTATTAGAATACAGTTAGTTTTTTAAAGGTATCCAAAACAGATGGTGTACGTGTGTTTTACATTATAAGTACTGAAGTGCTTTTAGACTGTATGTGGGGGTTGGAAAAAGCCAGTATGCAGTCATGTAGTGTGACAGCATGTCCCTAAATTTCAGCTTTCATTTAATAAAGTAATAAGTCTCTTGCTGTTACAGTTCTGAAAAAATCTGGCACTGTGAGCAGAATGTAACCAAGGCAGAGATGGCAAAGAGATGTCTGGAACAACAGCTCTGAATGGCATGAACTGCGCCTGTCAGCACCCCATCACCCAATGATAACTTTGGTGTCAACATTTTAAACAAACCCTCTATTACTCAGGGTGGGGGGAAGGAAAAAAAAAAAAAAAAGAGTGTGATGGATGGGCACATTATTGTGACAATTTCAGTTGTCCACCAAAATCAGTGAGAGGTTCTAGCACTTACAGCAATCCCAGTTAAAAGGCAGCCCCACAAAACTGAACAGAGCCCAAGGGCAAATGGAAGAGATCCAAATGCAGAGAGCTCTCCAGAGTCCAGAGAGACACTGTCCTACTTCAAGCATCTTGTGCTTTACTCTTCCTCTGACCATGTAGTCAGGACTTGGGAACCTTTAGAAGAGTATCATTATCTTTCGTTCTCCTGACTAGACCCTGCTGATAGCACATACTGTTCTTAATCAGAAATGCAGTCGTATCTATTAGGCATTTATTAACTATTAATAAAATAATAAATGCACATCTTGCATAATGTCATCTCAATGTATATAGACTCTGTGTGTGTGTAGCTGCAGTGTTTGCATTTACTGAGGGGGTGACATTCTTTTTTTGTTTCAGTGTAAATAAGATGATGACCATTATCATGACTTAACCAGCTCGGGACAGAGCCGTGCTAGGTGAGCCTGTTACATTTGTAGAAATCTTTTGGCTACCCCTCCTTGAGGCTGGCATTGCACAATGTGTTTTTGAGCATCCATCTTCTTTTCCATACATTTTGGCTTCAAAGTTAAAGCAGGAGATATGGCACTTACTAGTGGCAATTGGTGCACTGTTCAGTGCTGGTCCAGCCTCTGTAAAAGCAACCTGTCCCAGCTAAACTCAAAATGGAAATAGGAATTTCAGATGAGATGTGAGAACAAGGGAGTGCCTTATGCTACAGCCAGCTTAAGTTTTAAACACATTTCGTAAGCAAGGAGTACAGCCAACCCTATCACTACACTTTTATAAAACTGACCTCAGTCAGTCCCTACTGAGATGTGTCTATGTCACTTGCTCTTGTAGCTGCTAAACAAGAAACTTCAAGAGATTCTCTTAAGTTTTTTAAGAGAGACATGGCACAAACTGGACTTACGATTTTTCTACTCATAAGCATACTACTGCTGGATCAGACCATCAGCCAGGCTTCCAAATTCAAAGCCAGGAAGCACAGCAAACGTAGAGTGAAAGGTACTGGGGTTTAACTGGGAGGAGGGATAGAAGCTTATAGACTACACAAGTTTACTACGTACTTAAATAACATTGCATGAACCAGAAACTAACATTAAACAAATGCTTATTGACAAAGGACATTTGAGTCTCTATTATATCCACCTGTAAAAGATTTTTATGTGAGTTAGCAAAGCCAAGGTGCCAGAATGAGTTATGGAAATAGAGCTGTATAACAGTTGTAAATATTTTGCTCTGTTATGCCTATTCGTCTCTGTCAGCATTATTTAGGACTCACAGGTACAGCTGAGCAAGGACTCTGGCCGATCACTCTTAGTTACATAGTTAGATTGACTAAGATTAGAAGAATGGAAATTTATGTACATATGGTGGAAAAGAGCAGAATAAAACATTCAGTCTCCCAAGAGCTATTGTTCAGAGTTTTGTACCATTTCCTAATTTTAACAGAATGTCTGTCTAATATTTGTGGAATACTGCTTTACCGGTGTGAAAAGTACTGTGAAATGGCAAGTCAAACTAATGAAAAAGAATTAGCAGAAAAAGATGAAGCGTAAATTCCCAGAGCAAAGCTTACAGAGCAAATACAAAACCGCTGAATGTTGTTTGGAAATGTCTGTGTATTTAATTTAAAGACTTATTTCTAATAAAAGAGGGTATGATGGAGGTTACACTAATGGCAAATATTTAAATTCCTAGTCAATGAAAAAAACGCAGCTTTGATAAAGCCATTGTACAACATGATTACACTGCTCTGGAGCTATACAGTTATATATATATATATATATATATATATATATATACTGCCTTCTCCTTTTGAATCTCTGTGGTTTAAGCTTGGTGTCTTAACGACAGGCTGCTCATACATTTGTTTTGCCAGCACATTTGTCTGTCAACCTTCCAGTAATAACTTTTGAACCTGAAAACAATTTGGCAGAAGAATGGAGTTCCTGAGGATAAGTTTCCCAATATTTTATGGAGGGGAAAAAAAAAAAAAAATCTGCATTAGTGTCCCACTATGAAAAGGTTGCACCAGGAGCTCGGCTTGTTCTCTTTTTTGCCTCCAGGAAGCAGAGGAACACGGAGGGGCTCTTGTGAACTGGGGCTGGCAGGGAGTAACATGGATTGGGGAACTGGGAGTCCTGCCTTGGGGAACAAGGGAGTCATGAAGGATAGCTGGGGTTATCCCCACAGGCAGTAGGGAATATGGAGAAGAGATGAGCTTTCTGGGGTGCTGCTGCAGGATTAGGTGATGTAACACAAATCTGTAGGAACTGTGGTTCTGTTAGTTCTGCTACGTGTGAAAGAACTTGTTTATTCCTCATGTTCATTACTGTGGCTTCTGAAGGTCTGGTTACTGCTGCAGTCAAATTGTCATCTTGTGCAATGGAAACATGCCTGCTAGCTGTTTGATGGTGATGGAATATGATAATGATTAAGTAAAAAGAATGGAAAAGAGGACATGAAAATGGAGTTATGTGCAAATCAGCTTCTTTTCTTGTCCCACCATCTTCTTGGTGCTTTTGCAAGTGCTACAAAAGGTGATTCAGCCTGAATTTGTGTGACTGAAGTCACCAGGCCCTCTCTGTACTGATAGAGAGAGGAAGGCTCCTCTTGGGGAGGGAAATTGCAGCTCAGCAAGCTTGTCTGCATTCAGACTGTGAAATTGGATTATATTAGTTGTTCCTCACTGTGTTAAAACAAGAGTTGTGTGAAACTTTCATGCTCACAGAAAGAACATTTCTTTGAATAAACACAACTTGTGTCCTGCTATTATTTGTATGTCATATATATACACCATGGTGTACAGGTTCAAAAGTAAATAAGCAAGTTTTGCTGTAAATTAGATACTGGCATGCAAAATAATGATTAGCTGCAACAATCCATGGTTTTCAAACAGTTACTAGGATACAGTCCAACTGAAAATGAGATTCAAACTATGAGGGTGAAAGGTAAAGGTGCATTCCACCTGTTTTTTTAGAGGAACCCTACAGGAGTCCTTTCATTAAGGAAAAATCTTTAAAAGAAATCAAAACATATCTCAGCAATGCAGAAACCCATGATATTTTGAACCAGCTTTTAACATATAATTTTTAAAATATATTTGTGTGTGTGTATCTGTTCATTTCTCTATATTTCTTTTATTCAAGAAAAAGATGACCTAAAGACCCAGATTGACAAATTGTGGCAAGAAGTAAATGCTCTGAAAGAAATGCAAGCACTTCAGACAGGTAAAGCAGCTTACACTCGTCAATGGCTTCCAAAAGTTATCCCTGCCTTTCCTCTCTTCTTCACACCCATCCTTTTCTTTAATGGGGATTTGTGAGAAATATTATTTTGAGAAATAAAACACCTTAAGGGCATGGTATGCCATAGCTGTAATGGTGAGAGCAGTGTTGAAGGAAGCATTCAAGTAAAATCAAGTCTGAACTAATGGCGTACAAGTGACAATTCTTCACTAGGAGCAAGAACTAATCTGGAGCAAGAACTACTTTTGTCTTTGCTATGCACAACCCCAAGCTGTGATTTTTAGGTATAATCAAAGGCAACACGATGAGGGTTGCTGGGTTTCAGAGTTTAGGTTGGAGGGTCAATGAGTTAGGTCCCCAGCTTTGATATGAACAGGGGCTCACAAGGCAAAAATATTCATGGAAAAGGTTGAGAATATCCCAAAAGGAAGGTAAAAGGACTGAGCCTTTTTAAACGGTGCAGTTCGTGACATTCAAATGTGAATGTTGCCATGAAACTTCAAAGTAATACCCAGTGTGAGTTCAGAAATATCCTGTATCAAATGTGCAGAGTCCTTTAAGTATTTAAATAGCCAGATGGAAATTTCCAAACAAAACAAGAAGGGTAAATACCCATGCACCAACTAGACAGTTGTGCTTTTTCACAGTTGTTGACACAAAACTTGGCATTTAAACATGTACAAGAGGACACTACAGAGGAAATTACATCATTCACATGAAACAGAACATATTTTCCTTCGGCATGGTAATATCTGGGTTGCCCTGTTTTACATCTCAGGTTACATAGAGCTTTTTGAGCTTTACAAAATATTTTTATTTTAAATTTCTTATAAGAAGACTTTAGAGGTTTCTTAAAAGAGGGAGCCTGTGCTAGACAAGTAACTCTTGTTTAAAAGTAATTCTTGTATTGCTTCCAGAAGGAGCTTGAGAGTAATCATGCACTGGCTTAGAAAAGAAACCAGAGCTGGGAGATTTTCTATCCTCAAAACTTATTCTAAGCTATATTCTAAATTCAGAACCCACACTGTTCAACTGGATTCTAAATTTGGCAAAAAGAGATCTATCACCCCTCTAGCTCTGACTGCATTTATTAATGACCTTGTGATACTTGAAAAAGGAGCTGCTTTTTTAGCTTATGGACATTTCCAAGACACACATTACAATCTGATTTCTTCTTTTGCTTGAATTTCCTAGGTCTCCTTTCTACATACCACGAAATGTTGCTACATGCCTTTTAGCAGCACATACTTTCTCCCTAAAGAGGACCAGTCTCCACCATTACTGCAGCATTGTTGAAATAGATAAGGTCTCTCTGACCTTTCCCACGAATATAAATTTGTTAAAGAATTTAACATTTAGCAAATATATTCATTACTTTTCTTTGGCCATTAGCAGTTGGAAAGGTTAAAATTTGAAGGATAAGCCCTAATATAAAATGATGACCCTGAAAATGCAGCTAAGGAATGCAACGAATACTACAACTGGAAATACTTAAAAACTGAAACATACAGTATATGGTCCAAAGTGGATTTCCATATCCTGTTGATCAGATACATAATTACTTTTTTTACAAGAACAGATGACAGGAATTAGAAACAGATTATAGAAAACATCAGGACAGAAGATGTTCATATTGTTTCATGATAATATTTCTAATATAAGTACAAGATGAGTTTAAGCAATAAATGAAATAATCTGGAAGTAGTCCCATGCAGGATTCTAAAAATAATTGTTACAGGAGTTTATTAAAGGCCTTTGCTACCTTCTGCAGCCGAGAAGGAACACTCCTTCATGGAGAGTTCTCTTCTTGCAAGTATTTTCCTTAGGAGAATCAGTTTTTCACATATCTGTATTAGGAGAGCTGGAAAGCAAATTTTAAGGAGTCACTCCTGCAAGCCTGCCCACACAGACCTTGGACTGGAAGAACTCTGACAGCACTTCTGCAAGGCAATTCCAGTTACAGAGCATATGCCAAATTAATGTTCTAGTATATTTGGACTTTACATCAAGACTTCCCTGGTACGTTCCAGTAGAACTAAAAGCAAACAGATTTATAAATGCAAATGTTTAGATTACTTAACTCAGATTGTCATGCAAGCTCAGTAATAAGTGTACACTTTTTGAAAGTCTTTATAGATTGAAGGCACTTTATCTCATTCGAATTTAGAGTTTGAAGGGATAGACTTTTCTGGAAAGACCAGAAATTAAGAACTGAAGAGGTGAATGTGTACTCTTCTGCAGGTGAAAATATACTTTTATCAAGCATCCAGACAGAGATTTGTGTTATAAATTTCAAAACAATATTTTTCACGTGAGCAGGACACATTTAAAATAGCACTTTTCTGTCCTGCCTTTGTTTGCTAGGAACTAGGCTTAGTTAATTCATAAAACTTTACTTTTCTTTGGCACTTAAACATCATAAACATGAAAAGACCTTTAGATCTCTCTCTCTCTACTATGAAGCCAAGTATAGATTTCCTGATGACCAACTCGCATCTGCCAACAATACAAACATCCATACCTCATCCATTCCACCAGTTTTAAGACTGATGAAATAAGGTAAAAATGTGTGAAGGCAGGACTATTTGCTAAAAGGTGATGTAAGATACACTGACAACAGGCCTGGCTTATATTTTAGCGTTCTGAAACAGCAAAATAAAAAAAATCCTTGAGAGAATTACATTGCTGGAGGGAATCTGGGGCTCAAGATCATGCCTGAGGTTTATCAGCATAAACACAGGAAAGAATCTCCAAAGCACTTCATGGTGTTAATATCACAGCTATGTCTAGCCTTCCTTTTCTCTGGAGCAGCTGTAAGAGCATGCTCTGCTTCTGGCCATCTCTTGTAGTCCTAGGTGCTTTGCAGAGTGCCTGTGAGCAGTCTGTTCAGATTCTCCAAAGGCACGCCAACATGCTGGCTGCATACAAGGTCCTATGGGAACAGGATGAATAGCAGGGAAGTCTGAACCTACTGCTACTTTCAGGCCCACTCTGTGGAGGCAAGACCCTTTCACTTGCTGAGGGACTTGTCTGCTTAATTCCCAACATACCTTTAGAAGATTACCATTTTAGGAAACATTATTCAAAGCTATAGCCCAAGCTTTTACTGAACATGCAAACCAATATCTATTCACAGTTTGTCTTCGTGGGACAAAGGCCCATAAGAAGTGCTACCTTGTATCAGAAGGCACCAAACATTTTCATGAAGCCAACGAAGACTGCATAGCCAAGGGAGGGACACTGGCTATCCCAAGGAATAATGATGAAACAAACACTCTTCGAGATTATGGCAAGAAAAGTATGCCTAGAGTGTCTGAGTTTTGGTTGGGTGTCAATGACATGATAAATGAAGGGAAATTTGTTGATGTCAATGGCATGGCTCTACAGTACTTCAACTGGGATCGTGCCCAACCAAATGGGGGGAAGCGTGAAAACTGTGTCTTTTTTTCTCAGTCGTCACAAGGCAAGTGGGTGGATGAAGTCTGTCGTACTGCCAAAAGATATATTTGTGAATTTCTGATCCCATAATTACATACACAAATGACCATGACTATGTTTTGGGTTATTAACACGCAGTTTTGCTTGTTAGTAACCCTTCCCACTTAGACAGTGGTGAGTTAAAAATATCCATCTCCTGCATTGTACTCACTCTTTCCTGAAACAGAAGTTTTCTCTATTAATTTATTTTCTATTCAGATGCTAAAAATGTTATGTTTAGTGAGTGCTCTCATTATGTACAGGAATATATTGTAAGTTTGACCTACATTGTTTCATATTTTGGCATGTTATTTCAGCCTGATGTTCGGGTTGCCGGAATTCACCTCCTATTTCTTTACTTTGTATCTCTACAGTAGGATAGTATTGAACTCAGAATTCTAGTGAATTTATTGAAAGTTTACAAAAGATTGCTGTATTGTGACATGTGCCAATATGAGGTGTAGGGATCCTTTCAGTTCCAGTGCTTAAGAGGGACTTTGGGATTATGTAAGTTCCTGTGAAAAATGGCCATCATCCTTACAGAATTTAACAGGATGGACCTGTGACCAAGAGTTTTACCTATGGGTTAAGAAAGCCAAATAAAACAGAAAAATCTGACGTTAATTTTTGAACTACATGGAGTTAAAAGTGATAAACTGCTAGAAAATGGAGGAAGTAGCTGTTCTAAAACATGTTAGTCTAAACACGTTTGCTTCTAAACATCTCAATTATGGTTAAATATTTGATGTCATTTGGAACATTCCTGTAGAAGAAACCAGCCTGAGACTAGATCATACCTCTACTATGTAACGCCTTAAGATGTGCAAAAGCCTTCTCTCCTGCAGGATCAGAGAGAGGCTTTGTAATTCAGACAGTAACACTGCCTGAAAGCACAAGCAGAGAGGAAGGATCCCCTTCCTGGGCACAACATCACGGCTCATTCACCTCTTTCCACACGGCCTGCAGCACACCTGATTGGCACAAAAGAGTGGGCCCAAACCACAGCTCATTTAGCCACATGCAAATTTTCCCGATTTAACTCCTGACATTTGAAAATGAAGTAAAATGCGCTGGTTATTTTTTGCTGTTCTTAACCTCACAATAGAGATTTGCCTTCATGTTATAAATAGCAGTTTCTCTCTTGCGTAAAGGAATTTCATTTAGATATTTAAATATATTGCTGCTTGGAGGCTAATTCCTACTTTTTATCTTTTAGTTGTGCAAGATTTTCTTAAATTATGCAATAAATTTATGATTACTGGTATTTAATTGTAGTATTGTTTTTGACAGCTTATGCTTCCATGTGAAGGCCATTCTTTGCTAGGACTTTTCTTGAGGATTCAAAAGGGGTGCCATCTTCGGGCACATTATACTATACTTTTAATTTTTACTAGTGTACCTACATGCCACAGGACAAAATTTGGATCCCTGCTTGCCCAAGTTCTGTATGAGATGCAACTGTTCAATGCACAACTGTAATGTGTTGTACTTAATTTCATTTTCCAACACTTAATGTTTTTGTAAAATTGGCCTGATTCTGAATTCTCTCACTTAGCTCCTGAGTTAAAATAAAGGGGCAAAATGTTCCCAAATATCTCCAATTTTCTTTCAAAATCTACCAACCTTTGCTAAGGTTGGGATCAATACTCCTTTTGCCTACATTTTAATATGATTAAAAGTCTGTAGTAATTTTGTATGGCTTCTTTACCTCTGGCTTGTCTGAAATAGGTCAGTATCTCAGCATATCTCTACAGCTACAGTCAAATTGAAAACTCACCACAAATTCCAGAACTTGTTTACCTTTGAGAAGTTTATAAATTTATGTCCTATTCAATCTATTTCAGCCAAGCTTCTAAAGTTGTACACAGGATTTGAAACCATTTATAGATAGTATTGATGGACGTTTATCAACCAGTGGATACAGACACCAGAGACAAAAATAACTATTTGTTTAGTAGTGATTTACTGCACAGAGACAAAACCCACCAAACAGAAATCAGTAATCAATTTGAAGATTTCCAGCAGAATGCTTAGTTAAGAAATAACAAAGGGACATAAAGTAAACAGGAAAAATTATGGAGGAAAACTTAGGTGGATAGAGTTGGAGAGGTGATGGCAGGAAGATAAACTCCTCCAGAAATGCCTGCAATGGAAGCAATACAGACAGAAAACAAAGTGGAAACACAGCAGGGAGACAAACCGTCCTGTCAAATTAACCGCCGCTATCTTTCCTCTCAATGACCGAATGTGCCTGAGCGAAGTGAGCTCAGAGTGAGGATGAGTATTTGCTGCCTGGTGGGCCTGCTCCGACCTGCTGCTGCACCAGTTCTTGTCTCCCGAACCTTTGCTCCCTACTTTTCCTCTCTCCTGTTAAACATGGTATTGCCCATCTTTTCCATTCAAGCAGATTAGTCTCCCTTCTCTACACCTGCCTCCCACAATTTGTTTCTGAAATCCTCTGAGGTCTCCCAGTGTCGTTTTCCCTTCAAATTCCAACTCTGGGTTCCTCATCTCTGCAAAAGTCACACAAAACTGTGCACCAGGGACTCCCACTCCCCAGTACATGCATGTACAACTGGCAAAATGGATGTAAGAGCCAGAGGTTCATATGCAGCTGGGGTATTTTGCTCTGCAAACGGGTGCTGTATCATGGAGCCAGCAGTCACTTCGTGATTTTCCATTTGCACACTGGATAGTCATCACGATTCAGCTGGGAATTGCTTGAGCGACTGGGAATTCAGCAGGACACATGATAGCAACTTTTATAGACATTACTGCAAAACCAACAACAGAAAAAGCTCCAACACTCACACCTAGTGGTATAACAGGAAAATGCAGAGTTTACAAAGTTTGAAGTGGCACTTAAATGAGATTGCTGTAATAAATACTGCTTCTAGCTGCTTGCTAAAGGAAAAAGGTCCAATGTAACGTGTCCAAACATGTACTAGCATCTTTGCAAGAAAATAGAAAATAAATTTTTTTGAAAGACTTTATACTAATTTTCAAAAGTGTTTAACATTGAGCTGCTAAACCTACATTCTTTTTAATTTTTGTGACAAATACTAGCAAATTTTCATTTTAGGCAGAAAAAAAGAGGTTGGTTTTTTGTTTTTTTTTAATTCAAACTGTTTCATGGACTCTATCTTGACAGACCAAGCAGTCATTGCGATAAAAACCTCAGGAATGGTGCCCTGAATATATGATATGATAACATAAAAACCCCTAGAACCACTCCTTGCATTGCAGCCTCACAACAGGTTAAGTAACGTGATTTTTCTCCCCACTTACTTCATACTTATATTTGTCCTCCCACCTTGCATCTGATGTGTCCATGGATTTCCCTTCTCCTTTGTCTCACCCCAAGGGAGGTCTCATTCTTCCACCTTCCTACGCTAAAGGAACACAAAGCTGGCCATGGGCACCTAAGTGAGCGAGTTCCCTCCCCAGCCTTTTTGACTCGATAACAGAAGATGTTCACAGTCAAGTTACCATACAGGGTGCATATGGTTAGGTCACCATTCTCTGTTCCATCCCTAGGCAACTCATCTCTTATTAGAGCAAGACGTTGTCCCTTGCAGTGTTCACATCTTGCTGCTTCTGCCTTGCTATGTGTTGTAGTAGTAATTTGTTTCTAGCATAAGAGCTGGTAGTTACAAGAGGTTGTCAGAAAGAGAAACTCTTTCATCCTGTTCGTTACATGCGATACACATCCAGTATCATTTGGTCTGGGTTCAGCTGTACTACATCTCACAGGATTTTCAACAAATCAGCTTCCTTCCTTCCTCTCTCTTTTTGACCACCTCAGCCCTGCCTGTGTGCATTGAACCAGGCTGATCTTCATCTTAGTAAGCCTGCTGACACTGCCTGCCAGCAAGGGAAGAGTCTGAGGCAGAAGAAAGACTGCCAGCACCAAAGTCCAGCTCAGAGCTTAGCTGTACTACCCTCCCTGGTCTGCTCCTGAAGGGAAAGGTCTGATATTAGCCAAGAGATCCTCAGGAGCATCTCCCAAGCTTTTCAAAGTGCACAGCAGAGCCTAAGGCTTGCTGATTTGCCCCTGACCTTCATTAGAAGGCTTAGTGGCGAGTATAAAGCTCAAAGTAGAGGATTTTGGAATGGAAGGAAGTTACAATTCAAAGCCAGGCCCAGACCTGGCCTTACACACAAGAATATAAGCACAGTACTTTTATTTACTGGTATTTTCACCTTTTTCACTCTTGAATTTTACTCCATCTATTTATTTTTCTCCATATGTTATTTTCCATAGTCTTCATGCATACACATTAACCCCCTGGGAAGGAAAATTTTCTAGGAGCATTGAAGTTTGCTTCTGTAGCCAGGTCTATAATTGAAAATACTTTAAAAATCTATTCTTGATTACTCACCCTAGTACCAGTACAAAATTCAACCTTGTTAAACTCCTTCCATCCATCAGCAACATCCTAGTATCTTGTGGGCCACTCTATTTCTGAGGCACTGATGTTGTCCCAGTAAGCTCAGACCAGTTATGAAGTCACCTGTGCTATGTCACAGGGGCATATGCTTTGTCTGAATCATGCACTGCAACTGCCTAAACCTGAGTAACTACTGAAGGACAACAATTGTATCCACGAACAACATGAAACAACCTCAGAAAGCCTACCTTTGAATAGCAGCAAGACAAATTCTCCCACAGGAACAAAGGACCTCAGCTGGAACCTCTGCTCATATGTAAGCTCAACCTAAGCTTGTTAGCATACATCAAGTACCCATCCCCACTTGAATGCCTGGGTTGCAGGGAAAAGTTCTCAGCTGTGCTTGAAGCACAGGTTGTCTGATAGATTAATGTGTGCTGTGGATTTCAGCAGCAGCAGCTTTAAAAATGGAAAACAGTCAAATGTTTACTAACTAAAACTAACTGGAAAACCATTAAAATGTTGGGAAATTGTTTCAAATTTCAGCTTTCTTTGTCTTAATCTCCAATTTAAGCCTTCTTCTGGGATTCAGCCAGCTCTACAGACCACAGAGATGGCTGCGCTATCGGGAAAGCTGTGTTCCTTCTACTGTAGGGGTGTTTATAAAAGGAGAAAGTCCTCTTGTACCAGACTCCAAGATAGGGGTTTGGAGGATGTAATCCCAGATAAAATTTCTGCATCCCAGCTGGAAGCATCTCTCTCTGCTCAGGAGACAAGGCATATGTGTACCTAGGTGAGCTCAAAGCCTTCAGCAGGAGCTGGATTAGCCCACTGGGAGCAGAAGGCTTGTGAGCACAGGACACAGATGGGGGTTACATGCACAGGCACCACCTGTATACAAAAAGCCTGTTTACTTGCATCACAGGCAGGTATCTTCCTGCCTTGCAACCTCTCTGAGGAGAAATGTGC